ACTGTGATGTAAAATTATGTTAAAAGTACTAAGTTTAGGGGCCTTCATTTATACTTGCCCTATTCCAACATGTTTGACTGTGACAATGGAACCAGTTTAGACCACAAATACTAATCTCCTCATAAATTCAATGACCATGATGCATTTTTAACTGTGCTCAGATATGACCAAGTTTACACTGAGGAAAATATCCCAAAAACCCTGAAAGGAATGCTAAGGTCAAACAGTAGGCAGTGAGAGAGTGAGTCAAATTTGACTTTACTTTATGTCAAAAATAAGCACAGAGCCGGTGACTCAGAGCTGACTATACACTGTGACTAATCTTAGACCACCATAAATTACAAGTTTGTAACAGCTATATAACTGTTTCCATTCTGAACAATGAATCTCCAGTTTTACTAACATCTATCCCATTAACAAACAATTCATGTGAATCCAGATAAAAGCAAATTATTTCCCTAATAATTATAATTACAAACTAGACCAAAATCGTCATTTTAAAGATGAAAAAAATAAATATTTTTTGAAGCAGCAATTAATTCTTGTTTCATATGAATGACTCTTCTTAATTAAAAAAATAGATATTGTATTTGCCTGGGAGAAAATACATGGTTATTTGGAAATAATATATTGCTCTGGAGTTAAAACCTTATGAAAAATTATGAATTTCATAAGAAAACTAATTTCTTTCTACTACATACATGAGTGCCTTATAATGCCCAAGGCTCTCAGTTAGGAACTGTGAGTAAAATGAAGACAAATAAGACACAGTCCCCAGAAACAAAGAGTTACAGTGAAATAGAGAGGTTCTCAAACTTCAGCACTGTTTTACCCACATATCTTGCTTAAATGAAGATCCGTGAGTCTTAATTTCCAAATTCTGATTTCATAGGTCTGGAGTAGGCCCTCAGAGGTGTATATTCTGATGCAGGGCGTCAGAAGACCAAATTCTGAGAGCCATATGTCTTTAGTAGCAAGGAACAACATAGTACGTTGTACAATATGTCTAATATTTGCCTAATTAATTTATTAAGAATTCCTGCAACCTCCACTCATGATGTCTTTTAATCCTGAGTTAAGATGCAATTCAAATCTTTAATTAAAATTATTTTTGAAAAGACCTGAACCTTAAGTTCAGATGTCTCTCCATCAAGTGCGTATTGCAATTTGCTTATGTGTATCAGTTTTACTAACTGAACTTCTGTTTCATTCCTGTGGCTAAGCAGTCACCTTGTGTTCCAGTGGACCCAGTAATAACGAGTCGTCTACTTTGTTTTCGGAATCCTGAGCTTCTCATTTATCTCAGAAATATTGTCCTCTTGTTTCACCATTTTCTAAAACTCAGCCCCTGTCCAAATGAGGCCGGGGGAATGTCAAGGGGGGGAAAAAGAAGGAGACATAAGTAATACTCTTTGTAATACTTTAAGCAATAAAAAAAAGACAGAAAAAAAGACTGTTTTACCTGGTGCTAGACCACCCCGATGCAGACCACCTGCCTGGATTTGAACATATTTTCTTCTCCCGGACTGTGCATAGCAATGATCTGCCTCCCACCCACAGGGGAAGCACCTGTCACCCCTTTTTGGACTTCTCTGACACTGTTTGCCTGTTCTCACTGTTACATATCACCTGCCATCAAGTTCCTTAGTAATCTGCTCCACTACTTTCCAAAATGTACAGAACATCAGCTACTTTTAAGCACCTGGAGAGATGCTTAAAAGTACAGATTCGTGGGCTTTACCTTTTGAGGCTATGATTTAGCAAGTCTGGGGTGAAGTCCAGAAATATGTAGTCTTAAAGCTTCGCATATAATTGAAGATTTAGAAAACACATTTAAACTGGACTTTTAAGAATTAATACAATTTTTTGTGACATAGAAAGGGAGAAGGACAATATAAGAAGGCAAAGCAATCTGATGGTAAAAAGTGGTGAGCATGTTTAAAGAAGAGAATGTAAGCAGTGACTAGTCCATAAAGTTTGCCTAGAGGCATCAGCTTTATGAAGAGATGTAATAGAGGGACATACGGATGGAAAGCTAGACAGAAGCCAGATTCTAACTGGTGATGAATACCGGGAAAAGTAAAACATTGGGCGTGTTCTGGGCCATCTCCGACTAGTACACATTGTGCTTTTCATTATCACCTCTATACTTCAGATAACCACATCTACACATTTAATTTTTATCCTTCAGATAATAAACTTCAACTGTCAACACATAAATCCTCAAAATTGCATATTGGAGTCAAGGTAATTAACCACACCTTTGCTATGCTTCCCACTGGCTAATCAGGGTGATATGCAAATTGACCACCAACCAAGATGGCGGCCGGCAGCTGAAGCGAGCAGGAGGCTTGCTTGCTCCAGTGACGGAGGAAGCCAAGGTTCCCCGCCTGCCACAGCCCGGCTATAAGCTTCGAAAGCAACAAAGTTTCAATTATAGAAGCTAAACAAACCCCAGATATCTGCTTTCAGCAGGCCGTGGTCTCAGTGCTGGAGCCGGCTCTCAACTCCAGTGACAGCAATGAAGTTTTAATTATAGAAGGTAAATAAATCCCAGAATTAAAAAAAAAAAAAAAAAAAAAAAAAGGAGAAGCTAGGAGCTTCAGTCGCTGGCCTGCCTGAAAATGGCCCACAGTCCCTCTCCCAGACAGGCCAGGCACTCCAGTGGAAACCCCCATCCTGAAGAGGGTATGATCAGCTGCAAACAGCCATCAGCCCCTCACCCAGGCTGGCCAGGCACCCCAGTGGGGACCCCCACCCTGAAGGGAGTGTGACCAGCTGCAAATAGCCATCAGCCCCTCACTCAGGCTGGCCAGGCACCCAAGCGGGACACCCACCCTTATCCGGGACACCCTTCAGGGCAAACCAGCCGGCCCCCATCTGTGCACCAGGCCTCTATCCTATATAGTAAAAGGTTAATATGCAACAGAAAGACTGGGAATGACTGGTCACTATGACACACACTGACCACCAGGGAGCAGATGCTCAATGCAGGAGCTGCCCCCTGGTGGTCAGTGCACTCCCACAGGGGGAGCTCTGCTCAGCCACAAGCCAGGCTGATGACTGCCAGTATAGTGGTGGTGGTGGGAGCCTCTCCTGCCTCCTCAGCAGCCCTAAGGATGTCTGACTGCAGCTTAGGTCTGCTCCCCCCTGGCAAGTGAACATCCCCCGAAGGCTGCCGGGCTGCCAGAGGGATGTCTGATTGCCATCTTAGGCCCAATCCCCTGGGGAGCAGGCCTAAGCCAGCAGGTGGTCATTCCCCAAGGGGTCCCAGACTGCAAGAGGGCACAGGCAGGGCTGAGGGACCGTCCTCCCCCCCCAGGTGCACAAATTTTTGTGCACCGGGCTTCTAGTTATAAATAACAGGCATAGAAAACTGAGAAAGAGAAGAATTCATCCAACATAAATTTCATTTTGAATATGAATATCAACCTAGTCCTCAGTTGAAATTTTCTAACTGTGTGTGTGTGTGTGTGTGTGTGTGTGTGTGCAAGAGAGACAGAGGGATAGATAGAGATAGAGATAAAGAGAGAAAGAAAGAGAGAGGGGGGAGAGAGCGGAGGTGTGCAAGCATGCACAAGAGGGGAGGAGGGATAAAAAGCAGAAGAGACTAAATTGATTAAATAATGTTCTAGGGGAGACATGAGATTGGAACAAAAATGAGCAGCTAGATTCCTGAAAATAAGAAGGCAATGACATTGCTGAGAGAATATCTGGAGAGTATAAATGAAGATATGGGTAAAATTTTAAGGAGAGCAAATCAATATATTTTATATTACTAGTAAAATGAGTGATAATATCAAATATGGATAATGGTGTGAGTAGAATATAGTCAGAACGGGAGCAGAAATTTCCTATGGAAAATTGATGGAGTGTACACAGGAAGACTTCAAGAAGGTGAGTGTATAGCTGAACAAGGTAGAACTATTTTTTTTTCCCTGGCATTACTCATCAGCCAGGATCTGGTAAAAACAAACAGGGGGATCCTCTCAGATTTGGGAATCTCCTGGAAGATGAGTCTCAATTACATGGTTTGAGATCTAAGGATCAAGAAAAAGGTGTTGAAATGCATCCGTTGCAGCTGAACAGGGAGAACAAAGGCGTCTGAAGACATGTCTCATTTGAAGGATGAGAAGGAAAGAATGCTGATCGAATGCTGAAGTCAGAGAGAAGGTACTCCGTACCTTGAAGTTCTTCAGTTTATAGCCTCAAGGGAGAAAAGTGAAGTAAAACTGGGTGACACTGATTTCAAAAAAAGGGAAGGGTTAAAAGATGTTTCCAAGATGAAGGATCTGGATGTGCCAAAGGTAAATAATTATGCCAATACCCACAGTCTCCACTAAGGAAGACCTCCAAGGAAGTGGTGTTACCAAGAAGAAATCAGGTTTTCATCTATATGCATCTGTTCCATGTTGGAGAACTTGGAGGATGAAGGAGATCATGACATAGGATGGACCACTGTTAGAAAGAATGAGTTTCCTTTGTAGGCCAGACCTTAGTGACCTGGATTACTTTTAGTCAAATAATACAAAGAAAAAAGTCTGGCATAGGGAAGGAATCATATGAAAGTGAGTCTGACACTGCAGCCATGGAAGTCAGAGAAGATTCTAGAATTCCATAAAATAAATTAAGAAATACAAAAAATTACAAATTCATTCCCTATTTTAAATTATAATAAAGCATAACTTAGTAAGTTTGGAGTTTGGATAGTAAGAAACAGATATTTGTAGAGACACAGTAAAACAGATTTTCTCTCCTTTTTCCCGTTTTGATCTCCCAGTGTTGTAAAGAGGAGTCAATATACAACATACCTGGTGCTCTGCTAACACATGTGATAAACAAGTATGTTTTGCACTTTTCAATGTTTCTTTTATATCTTTAGATAAACATGCTATGAAGATTATAATGATATTGACAAATGTATGACATAATCCATGAATAGTTACCTGCTTCAGATTAGTTATCTCTTTCAGGTAAATTACCTGTTTCAGATTAGTTACCTGTTTCAGGCAGCGTGCTGATATTGCAAGTACTTTCATCGCCTTCGCCCGCTGAGGTTGAAGCTCTTATTTTAAAGACATATGAGGTATTGGCAAGAAGTTTCATGAACATATACATGTGATCTTGGGGTGAGACTTTTGTAGAATTCCTCTCAACTGTTATCATATAATGTGTAATCACTCCATTTGCCTTTCGGGGTGGGTCCCACCTCACTAAAGCGGACTGCCAGCTAGTTGCCTCACACTGTATGTTCTGTACAACATCTGGAACTTAAGAGATAAATGCCTAAAGTTAAAATTTATACACATGTAGAAGATACATCATTTAATTATGTGACTGCTAAATAAAATCATATCTAGTAGCGGCAGAATAAAAATTTAACATATCAACGGTTCAATTTGTGTTCAAAAAGTTCCCTTTTTTACATATGACCCCCTTTTAGCTGAAACAAATGGCAGTTGGTCTATTTTCTCGGCTCTCTTGTTAATCCTTACAATACTAAACCATTCACTTAATATTTTCCTAGGCCAAAGCCGCAATCACATCCTCAAAACTGCATAGTCAGAGGCAACTGCATAGTTTCAAGTTCAGGCAGCCACTGAAACCTGCTCCTTTATTTCTTAATCAGGAAGGAGAACTCTTAGCAATACTTTATTATGAAAACTTTTTTGTGCAAAACAAAGATACAGGGTGCCTCCCTGATATGGCACATCTGGGCCTAACAGTACCAGCAGACATGTAACCATTTTTGGATGGGGGGGTGCTTTTATATTGAGATGGCCTCCTTGGAAGAATTGTGAAGGCCTGATTCTTCAGTACATTTATAAAAATCGTTGAAGGGAAGATTTAAATCAGTCCTAGTTTTTAATTACATCCACGTTCCCCTAGAACTTCTCTGAATTCACTTGGAAGTGACCCCGTTTTTTTCAGAAGTACTCTATTTATGGTAGACATAGTTAAAGAGCAATAAATACCCAGCCCACCACAGTGACTGGCAGGCTAGAGAGACTGGTTAGTTCCCATGGAAATGTTGAATTACCTGACGACCCCTAATGTCAGCATAGCTTATCCTATTATAGTAAAAAGAGGATGCTACAAGGAAAATTAGAATACAGTTAGTTAATAGATTGCAAACAAGTAGTGAAAGGAACCAACTAGCTGTCATTATGAAAATCACAGTTATTGAAAGAATATTCAAGTAAATTTGACTTGTTTACAGTTCTCTCCCCTGATCCAAATTTATGTCTTTACACACCCATTTGTCTTCCTCTGGAAGATACAAGCATCAGAACTACAGGAGAATACTTACAGAATGAGTGAAATTTAACATTAAAGAAAAGACAATTTCACATCTAATCCAAGGTTCCAGCAATTAAATATCATTAATTATTTGCTTCTTTTTGTTCAAAACCATATCACAATATAGTCATAAAATATGTTAACAAGAGGCAGTTGATAACTTGCTTAAAGTTAATGTACAAAACTGAATTTTGTGAACATCTATTTCACTGACTGAAGCTAAAAACTATGAATAACCAGCTGATGTTATAACTCTTAAAGTTGAAAATGTCCTATTATTTAACCAAGCAGGGTTCAGAATGCTGTGGTCTTAGGAATTAAGTACTTTTTACAGATATATAGATCCTACTTTGTTCCTAAACTAGTCTTTTGTTAAAATTTCCTCAGTTTAAAAAGAAAACAAAAGTGTGAATATATGCATATGAACACATGTATTTGACAGCAGACAAGACCCAGCCTAGTTTTAAAGAATTAAAATTCAACTTCTGTTTGAGTGAACTATTAAATAATACTTTATCACATAGACTGAAAAAGGGAAGGGGAAAGGGTTAAATACAAATGAAATATCTTAGGTGATTCAAAATGCTGCGTCTAACCTGATTCTTGGGTTGTGAATTTTAGTACATTACTAAATTGATTGCCATTTCCCACTTTGGTGAAGGCAGAGATGCTGATAGAGTAGGTGCTGACTGGCTCCAGTCCAATAAGCTTGGCTTCAGTTTGAAAGCCTGAAATATTCTGAAAAGCAGGAAAATAAATTAATCACAATGCATCATCAAAAATGTGTTTGTAACTGGAAGACATATTTCAACACATCAAAGTTATGCCATGTTTAACCTATGATTTAATAAGCATGGATATTTTAATTAAAAGAGAAAATATTAAATGTTTGTGTGGCGCAGGGAGTGGAAAGCTGATAATGCAAGGATAAACTGGACATTCAGCATGAAGAATCTCATTATTGACATTTCTTAAAAGACTAGATTATTTTGTTTTCATTTTGCCTCCCAGATTCTTACTTGGAATTACATCCTAATTACTTTCTTTAAATATACCAAAATTAAAGTCCTCAATTTAAATCCATTTTACAGGTGGTCAGAGATACTTGATTTTTCTTGAATTCATCTAAATTCATTTTAAATATCCAATAATATTCTGTTTAAGTAAATTAATTCATCATCTACTATATGCTAAGCAAGGGAATACAGCAGTGAATAAACAAATATCTGCTCCTATGAAGCTTATATTATGAGTTTTCCTAGACAACTCCTACATTTCCTATTTGACAGAACTTTAGGAAAAAGAGATAAGGAAAAAAAACAGCACAGGCGCCCAAGAAAGAAAATGTTTTCTCATAGAAAATTTTACCACTGAGTATGAAATTTTCATTCAAAGATAGTTATCCTAACCAAGAGAGTAGTTAAGTAAAGAAAAAGACAATATCCTTTGTGGTATAACTTTAAGAATATTGCATTATATCTGACCCAAAATATAAAACACTTTGACTTATTTATTAAATATTTCAGTAACATAAATTTAGCAAGATTACTAATTCTTGGGTACTTAGAATCATATTTTAAATTAGTCTCCGGCAAGTCCTTGAACTCACTACATTACACTATTTCCTTTCATTTTTTCACACTTACTATTTACAAAGCATACTGTCAGATAACCAGCATATTAAAGAACATATAAGGCATGGCCCCTGTCATCAAGGAATTTTAATATTAATTAGAGAAATCTACAAACAATTGCTACTAAGAAAAAATTAAACACAGTGTAGGTAAATTTTGATTTTGGTTAGAAAGGCTGGTACCCAGAGAAGTGCCTGAACTCAAGAGTTGACAATGAAAGTGTGAGAGTGGATAGTAAACAGGTTGACACAAGAATAGCAGTAAGAAGACCTAAGTGAGGAGTATTGCCGAACATCTTTTAATAGAACTTTTCACTAAATAAACGATTTCAGGATACAGGACAGGCCTGAATTATCTGCAGACCCGGATCTTCTTGATCCCCGTGGGAACCACTCTGGAGTGACTGGCATGGCAGACATTTGGAGTGGCTCTGGAGTACTCTACTTCCATGAACCCACATATAACTCAAAAAAATAAAAATAGAAAAATAAGAGAAACTGATACTGTTGCGGCATAGGGGTGGATGAAAACATAGAAAGAAAAATAGGAAAATAGAGAAAACAAAACAGTGGGAGGGAACTAGATACAGTAAATTAGATGTCAGAAAAAGAAAAAGGTGGCATGAGAGTACATTGAAAGAAAACAAGATCATGAGAATTGATGGAAGAGAAAATAGATGTAAAAAGAGGAACTAAAAGTAGTAGATTTTAAAGAAAAACTATGTTCTCCACCCCAAAATTATATAATTAATACTTTATGGTATAAAGATTATATTTTGCTGACAGTGGAATGTTAATGGTAGTATTCATATTGAGAGAACAGAATGTCTAAAAATCTTAGAATACAACTTATTTTCATAGTAAGATTATGACATAATGTCATGTTATACTTAGAGCTATTACATTGCTGGATGGATATTTTGTTCTTTGTATAACTATGTATAATAACAATAATAGCTAACACATTTATCACATGCCAAGGATAGTCCTAAGTGCTTTTTATAGATTCTTCCTTCTAACCCTCACTTTTTAAGGTATGTATCTTTATAACTCCCATTTGGCACTTAAAGAAACTGAGTCATAAGAGGTTAAACAACTTGTCTAACGCAGAGCAGTAACTCTTAAAAGCAATGGCGTCGATGCTGGAGATCACTGTTCTGAGAAGAAAAGATTGCACAATGACACCCATGCTCCAACACATATACACATTATCCCACAAACAAGATAACATTAAGAAAATGATTCATTTTTTCCCCTTATAATATCTATTTGCCAGTGACCCCTATAGCCAAAGCAAATTAAAAGTTGGAAAATGTTAAGATTAGAAAAGAGATAGATATTAGAGGGCTAGAGACTTTATGTCATTAATATAATTTCACACTTTTGGGAAAGAGAGTCCACATTTAAGGAGTACTAAATATAATTCAAATTCTACTCAGCCTTTCAGATTTTGAAGTAATACATTGATTTCCAGAAAGTTATTTGTTTCTTATGATATAATCTTAATCACAGATTTTGATTTTTACTATCCCCTTTGTAAGCTACATACACTATAAAAATGATTTACCATCAGCAATAAATTGAAATGCATATAACAACAATGTTTACTGCAGATTTTTTATACTTTTCTTGCTATAACTAAATAAAAGCATACCAGTGCTTCAATTTGCCTTTGGGAAAAAAAGAACACTTTAAAAAAAATAAATGTCATGTATTATAACATATTTTGGCAATTAAATGCTAGAAATCATAGAAGTATATTTCAGTCTTTTTGTTACATCAGTTCTTTGGCTAGTTTTCATTGATTCTGAGACCTAAAAATGGAGGAGGGAACGAGTGTTTAGTGTTGCAAACTAATTAGTGTTGCAAGTAAAAGATAATGAAACATCTTAAAATACCAATTAGTGTAGGATTATATGCTATCAGGGAAGATTACCAGAAGTCCAGTAAAAACACTTTTTAGAAAAGGTTAAAACCATTAACTTGGCACTTCATTCTAACAACAAATAGAAATATATTACATTTAAGATAATAACAGTTTTTAGTCTGAAAAATATTTTACTATGTACTTTCCAGCACTCACAAAATGGTGCAATTATTTCTTAAAATGTAGACATGTAGAAGTTAGAAATTCTAAGTAAATCATTCTATGAACTCTTCAGCTTGCATATTTGGCAAGTATTTTCTGTGTTTTCCGTAAGCATCCTTCAACTGCAGGGAACTAAAAATGTTTCTTGAAAGATGGCCCTTGTTTTGTTTAAAGCAATCCATTTTCTCCCTGCATGCCAAAAGTTTCATTCACGTTCTGAATTTTTTAAATAAAAATATACTGTCATAATCAACCTACCTTATAAAATATAGTATCAGTTTCATGTTCATGAATTTTAAAACTATATACTTTAACAATACCGCCTGGCACGGGACTTGGGCTCCACTGCAGCCACACAGAATCTGAAGTGTAGTTGATTAAAGTCAAATTTTGAGGAGGTGCTAAAGGCACTGTAGGAAAACACATTATAAAACTTATATTCGTGATTTTTAACATGAAAATATCATTGTGACTATAGCTTCCTGAAGACACTAGTTAAGAAAGACTTACAAAATGATCATATTTTAATTTCAGAAACCAATAGCATAAACAATGATGTTTTTGGAACTCAGTAGTTCCAAAGCAGCTTTAAACAGAACACTTCGTTCTGAAGCCCGAGGAAAAGAAGAAAAAAGAATGAAAGTTAAGCGAAGTGGATGAATAGTTGTAAACCTGTTACAAATAGACAATCAAATATCCTCTCATTTCCATGCGGTTCCTTTCAAAAGAGAGAGCAAGTGCTGCAACAGTGAAGCATTGGAAGAAATAGGCAATCCAGCTTACCTGACTCGTCTGTGTAAAAGAAAAGAACACTGGAAGGACCGAGTCCCTTTACAGTTCTTGCAGCAGCAAAAATACTATATAGTGTAAATGGTGAGAGCTCTTCCAATATTATATAGTTATCAGAAGTAATGAAAGAATAGCTTTCATTTGGTCCTTGTAAAGTTAAATCATAACTTATTATGGCACCATTTGGTTTTACTGGGGGATCCCATGATAAGAGAACTGAGGTAGAGGAAAGGTTTTTAAAAGTGTTGATTATTGGTGAAGTTTCTGGGACTATAAAAGAAAAAAAGAATATTAAATGAAACCAAAGTGAATTAGCATTTTAAAAAGGCTTTAATAATAATGGGGCTTCATTTTATTAGCATCTAATTATTTAAATTTTAAGAAACTTAGAGCTTATTGTGTTCATCAAAAGGCTAGTTACTTGAGGACAAATAATCTATATAATTATAAAAATAATGTTTTCTGTCAGAAAGAAATATAAATTTTAAAAAACACAATCTGCTTAATAGACAATAAAAGGATCCAGCCTACCATCTTCTTCAGTTTTGATGTGTAGCTGGGCAGTATAGGTATCAGAAAATCCCTTTTCGGTTGATGGAGTGATTTTTAATATATAATCAGTGTATTTTTCCAGATTATCAAAATACATGCTTGTCTCATACGTAACTAGAGGTGGTCTTACGTGGCGAGGAGTCTGCTGTAAGCTCAGAGAGACATAGTAGAAGACTAGACCGTTGGGTTGAGGTGGTGGGCCCCAGCTTACATTTATTGCAGTTGACGAAATGGACTCATAAGTCAGGTTTCCAACAGGCCCTTCAGGTACTATGACAGGTAGTGTGCAAAATATAAAAATTATCAGTAACCCTAAATAATGTTAACTAAATTCACAAACTGAGGATAATTGTTAAAATGGCATCTATTGCATCATCAGTTCTTAAATTGTTTAAATGCAGATACAGTAAATATCACCTATTATAAAATATCTTCTAAATAATATTAAAAATCATTCAAAATAAGTCCTGTCATCTCACACATCTATTATATGTGAGAATTATTTTTCTATAATATTCTCTTGGCTTTTCTTTCTTACAATATGGAGATTATGAGTGTGTAGATATGCATGTATGCGTGTGTATGTGTATATATATATATATATATATATATATTTAAATATTGCAATAATGTAATTAGCTATAAAATATTTTTGTTTCTAAAAAATGCCTGAAATAATATTGACCACATATTGCATTAAAACACTTTTGTTAAAGTCTGTGTAAACAAATATCTCCATATATTTTACCTTATCTTATTCTGCTGGTTAACTTGTGAACTATTTAAAGATTGTTCCAACAAGGAAAGCATTCACTCCTCATATATACAGTCTGTCAACTTACAATCTTCAGATGATAAACATGGAATTTTACTCTCAGCAGTAGAGGTCAATGCCATTTCTCAATATGAGACTAGTCTTTAAATAAAAGTGGACGAGGTGGGATTGGGGGACCAGTTGGAGGGATTAGCAAATACAAGTTGGTAGTTACAAAATAGTCACAGGGATGCAAAGTACAACAGAGGGAATATAGTCAATAGTATTATAATCACTATGTATAGTGCCAGATGGGTACTGGAAATATCAGGAAGAATACTTCGTAAAATATATGATTGTCTAACCACTATGCTGCAAACCTGCAACTAATGTAAAATAATATTAAAATGAATAAAAGTTACAACCATAAGAAGAAATAGGCAATGATCATATTCCCAAAGCTGAAACCTAAAAAACATTGATAGTTTCCGTCATTATAGTTAGCACAAACAAGATTCTGCAGAAGCTGCATACAAGAAACTTCTGGGGTTAAAAAAGTTATTCTGGGCATATTAGTCACAAATACAAAACAAACAAAAATGCTGCATAGAGTCCTATATGGATTAAAAGACTGAAATGAAATAGCTGCTAGAGAAAAAAGTGTATTTCCTAATGCAAATGGTAAGCATAGTAGCTATTAGAAAACCCATCCATGTGTACAACGGTCTTTCATGGCCAAACCGAATGGCTGTGACATCCTTTGAAGCAATAACAGCAACACAGTTTTCATGAATAAATGGTAGCAGTTTATATGAAGAGAAAGGCTATTATTATTGTAATAGTTTTATAGCTATGTTAAATGCATTTTCAAACTTTTATAATGACTAGTTAAATGTGCCTAAATAAAATGTCGGTCTTACTACAAATACATACAAATAGAAGGTTGTGAAATAATTATAAAGTTTTAAGTTAATCCTATTAAATATTAATAAATACTTTTCATTTACATACTGTCTTGATCTGTGTATACTTGAACTATGTCACTGCTTTTATTCCCATTTCCAACTGAAGTACTTGCTGTTACCCAAAATGTATAGTAGCTGAATATTGCCAGTTTATCTATTATTGCAGATACGGTCATATTGTCAAAGTCATTGGTGACTTCATGGAGTGTAACATTCTGAAAAATAAACATATTGTTTTAATTGTTCAGAATATAGTTTTAGTATACATGAACATTTCAAAAATATTTATTCATGAATTGGTTGCCTCAGTATTTTAATATGTTAATCTTTGAGGAAAATCAACATAGGACATTTTATTGCAATAATTAAACTGGAAATATGTTTGTACTAAAAGAGGAATCTATGGTAGTTTTTATTACAAAATCAATATATAGAACAGCGAAGAGGACAAAACTCTTAGCAATGAAGAAGGTCCAATGACCAACTGAAAAATGCTACATCTTTGCTAACAGTGTTAGTTTTCTTATGAAACATTCAAATATTTTTCAAAATGTTAATGATATATTTTAAAATTTGAGAGTATAATATATTTTTAATTTTTCCTTCCTATTAAAGAAGAAGGAATTATGAAAGTATTCATCTCTTTCTATTAACTAATTAAATATAGTTATTCATCTTTAATGAGTCTTCTTGTTCTCTATAATCCTGGGGAGGGGAGGAGGGCAGTTAGATACACTCTCTTATATGCAGAGTAAGAAATTTTATAAATTTCTGGCCTGACTCCTAGTTATATTGGTCCCAAGGCATTGTTTAAATTATTGGGAAATTTATATGATCATTTTCTCTCAAGCAAATATTAAACACAAAACACACAAAGAAAATAAATTTTAAAATAGAGGAAAACAGACTTTTAACAAAAAAAAACATTTGGCAATTAGTATGAATCAATTTGTAATATGTTCATCTACATAGAGAAATCTAAATCATTCCAATCTACACAAAGCCCTTACATAGAGTTCTATAAACCTGTCTTCATTCTGGCAGGATAGCTCTGGGAACATCACCTAAGCTCACAGCGCCTTCTTCCTCAACTATAAAATGGGAATAACCATTTCTACTTCACAGAGAGCTTTGGGGATTAGATGATATGAAGCAGATCAAGCAATTAAAACCATGTCCGCACATAACAAAAAACAACAAATGGCAATTAGGTAATTTAACTTAATAACATTGAATAATCAATTTGACTAAAATTCATAGTTAGGATGATTTTACACCGTATCAACAAATTAAATTCAGCAAGTTTTTGAGGTTCCTTTGCCAATATTTGGGGAAGAAGAGAAGAATGAGTGTAATAGAAGGTCTATTTCAATTTTGTGGTGATTTATTTAGGAGCAGACAAATTAAATTAATGTAACAATCTCACACAAAATATGATTTGTGAATTTCAATATTTTCCAACACACCTACTTCACACACAGAATAACAAGCTTATATAAAGTACCATGTAAAATGTTAACATAGTTTTCTGGTGTAACTTTTAATTTTTCTTTATAATAGAATTTATTCTGATTACCTATTATATGACCTTGATGACAATTAAGTCACAAATTATTTTGAATCAGCCAGAAGTTATTTATACTGAGTGTGCGTAGACATGCATAAACATATAAAGACATAACAAATTTAGAATTAAACCAATTATCTAAATTATTTCATTCCTTTATTTATTTTTGGGGAAAAAATCTTATGATTCAAATGATCTAATTAAGGTTTACTATTTTGTGTATAGAAATATAGTCAGAAGGTATTTAGCAAAAACTTTTCAAATTTGATTAATCACCTAGTATTTATATTGCACTTTACAATATACTGAGACAATGTCAGGCATACTGAGGAGACATGCCATGAGTGGATAGAAATTAAAGTGCAGAAGCATTAATACACTTTATAAAACACAATTTGCAACAATTGAGAGCAGAATGGGGATTGTCAAGTAGTAGTAGAGCGACTAACTTCCCCAGAATAAGAAGGAAAGATCACTACAAACTCAAGTGCTCCAAAGTATCACTAAGTACTGAAAATAATGGTGGTCTATTAAAATAATTTATTCCTTTCAATTAAAAATATATTTTATAAGGGGACAGACAGGGATGGAAGATACTGTTTTTTTAAAATATGTTTTTATTGATTTTTAGAGAAAGAGGTAGGGAGATGGATAGAGAGTTATACTGAGTGGCCAGATTATTATGACTGGCCAGATTATTATGACCACCCCATCAGTACAATGAAGTGAATTAGTTATGCAAATAATAATAATAAAACCTTGAGAGTATTTGCTTAGGAACTTTTCAATATTCCGTATTTTTGGAAGTGTCAATGAAGTACTGATGGGGTGGTCATAATAATCTGGCCACTCAGTGTAGAAACATCCATGAGAGCGCATCATCATCAATCAGCTGCTTCCTGCAAGCTTCCTAACTGGAGATCCAGGCTGAAACCCGGGCATGTGCCCTGACTTGGAATGCATCCTGTGAATTCTTGGTTCCTGCATAGATGTTCAACTACTGAGCCACACCAGCCGGGCTCAATTAAACTATTTATTGAGTATTAAACCTATGCATGACACAGTACAGAGGACTTTGGGAGATGGAAAGATAAGTGTCACATGACCCTTTTCTTCAGGCTGTTTGTTACAGCATAAGGGAGCCTAAGACAAGTATGAGATACCAGGACTGGGAATCAGAATATGATGTGCCATGCATGAGATAATTCTACAAATCTCGGTGGGAAGGAGAAGGAAAAGCATGGGGAAGAAAATAAGTTATACACTTATCCCATTACATAATTTTGATTTTGAGGATTTCTTCTATTCTGCCAATCCAAAATAGAAACTCAGGGAGTGAAGATTTTGATGCTATATTTAACATTAACTGTAGGTGGAAATGAAAGCACAGATGAACTTCAAAAATATGTGAAATGTTTAACATCATTAGCTTTTGCCCTCTTGCAGCTGTCAAACTTAAAAGCATTCTCAAGATTATTTAATAAAATATTACATTGTCTAAGATAGATAAATTGCAAATGAGATTGTTTTATATACCCAGGTTTGAATAAGGAGGCTCGGAAGATCATGTTGAAACCAGAGTTTGATGTTTACACTTGATTATTTAGACACAGACAAAGAGAACCAAATTAAAATCATGAATAAGCCATCAAGTAAATTGTACAGAAGCAAACGCTTTGGTAAGATTCAGAATTATTGACACCACTTAGCAAATTTTTGGCAATTTGTGAAAAAAGAAAAATCTGCAGTTCCAATCATCTCTGTGACATATGACATTGCTAAATGTATAAACAACATTACAGTTAGAAAGCATTAATAAATTATATGCTAATCCCATATCTCTTCCCCAAACAGAGCAGAACAAAGAGGTATAGCAAAAAGAGGGATCCTCCCTCTTACCCCTTTCTTAGCAGGCCTAGAACGGAATGTAAAACCAAACCAACCTCTGGACTTTCTTTTACTCACTGCTGGGTTAGTGCTGAGACAGCTTGCTAAGTTCTGCTCTGACCCCATTCATTAGCATAAACGTTACTGCAGATGCATTGCAGCAAGTCATACTGTAGCCCAGAGATTGCTGCTCATTGGACTCACTCTAGTAACTAAGCCTGGGGCGTCAGTCACAGATGGGATCAGGCAACCTGGAATGTCTAAGACTTATCTCTCTTCTCCTGCTCAAAATGATACAGAGAAATAAGAACGGCCAGAGTCACAACCAACATGCAGTCCATGGTGTCTATCAGTAAAAGCAGGATATTTCCTAAATTAGTGTTTTCCATACCATAGCCCATCTTTCCTCAATCCTGATCCAGTCACAAGTCCAATTTTATTCTTTTAATACATATTAGTTCTGCAAAATATTTAGTTTAGAAAGATAAATTCTGCTGAAAAAATATTTTCTACATGAAATGCATTTTAGCTATTTTCATATTATCATTCATATCTTAGAAAGTGTCCATATGCAAAGTGTGTGAGTCTAGTACCTTGCATTCCTCAAGTTAACCACATTTCTAGTTTTCATTATATCGGATAATAGTAATAATAGTTATTACTATTCTAGCTAACAATTGAAAACAGTTTTTAAAAATAAAAAACACACAAACATATCCAAACATGAGAGGTATTTATATTGTATACAAACAAAAGAAAATTTGTCTTAGTTGAGAAATAATTGAGGGTAAATGAAACCATCAACTCTTTAGAGAACACTTCTTAGAGGAGTGGAATTAGGGCCATATTTTTATACAGAGTTTTAAATAGGTGGCAGCTTCATTGCTGATAATACCTTTGAAGCTAATATAGAAACGTGTGCGTGTACACATACATAGAGAAATTAAAAAATATCTGACATTTCTCCACCATATTTTTCTGTCAATGGGAGCTTTATAAAATGACTATAGATAATTATCAATGTAAGATAAATTATTTTTTCTACCATGCCGAGTCTATACCATCATCAATTGAAGGATGTAAATAAAGAACTAGGAGAAAACTCAGGTCTTACCTGCACAAAAGTACCAGAAGTATTTCTGTAATAAACAGAATAATATTGTATAACCCCATTAGGTTTTGAAGGTGGCTTCCAAAAGAGAATTATTGATGAAGAACTGATATTTTCATAATGAACATCTTTTGGGGGATCACTCGGTGCTATAAAAAAAGCAATTGAACAGAAAACTGAACTTGTGGCTCCAAATAATGTCTGAAATGTTCTAAATTTTACTTGCCTTTGATAAGTGCTAACTGATTTTCAAAAAAAACCAAACAACTTAAGTTGGAATACCATCTAATTACAAGTCAGAAATGAAATCCATGAGGCTCAATGGGAAATCCCTCTAACACTATAGCAATATCCAAGCAGAGGAAAGACTGATTCTTAAACATAAAACACTATCTTAGTTCTGAAGCATGCCTACTGCCCTGGATTTAAAAACAACATTGTAATGAGTTTCCAATATAGAATATATAATATGAAATTCTAACTTAGAATTTTTAAATCGAATAATAGAGGATAATGGTAGAGAGCTGACTTTGTGCATTTTATTTTGTCTCATTTAACAAACACATAAAATGTTTACTAAGTGTCCAGTTCTGTTCTGAGTGCATTTACAAATATAGATTCATTAAATCCTCATAGAACCTTGTGAAGTAGGTACTATATTGTTTCCATAATACAGATAGGAAGTTGAGGCACAGAGAGATCAGCTAACTTTACCATTATCACACAGCTAGAAAGTGGCCAAAAAGCAATTTTGCATCCAACCAATGATGAATATTAGGCTTAATAATACATATTTATAGTTAACACTTGTGTTGTCTAGGTAGGATATTCTTTTACGTGGTCTACAAGGATAAGAACTCACCTCCCTCAGGTGTTCGAAAGTTAATAATATTGCTTCTTTTTTTCCCATCACCAAATCTGGTGCTAGCTGTTACATATGCGTTATATTCAACATTATAGTCCAAATCTGAAAACTCTAATGATATTTCAGTTACATTAATAGTTCTTAATGATGACCTATCCCTGAGAGAGAAAAAAAGAGATTATCTGTAGAACTGACTTTTAAATTAAATGTTACATATATATATATATATATATATATATATATATATTGAGCAGATTAGATTAAAAATGAACATGTGCACAGAAGTTTATTAATCCAGACTAATAAGATAATGATGCCACTTATCCTGAAATACTAGAAAGAGAGAACTTCAGAATTCAATAAATGAATTTATTTTGTTTTCAAATATATTCAATGTCTAATGTGTTCACATTAGAGTTTGCTTGGATTAATTTTAATGAATCTCTAGGAATACTATATGTTCAAAGTAATCACAGAATTTTTTTCATAACAATGTTTTAGTTGTTCAAATATTTGTCCTTTAAGTGTTGACAAAATCTTATTTGTAATATATATTTATCAACAAAGTCATTTTTGATATACAGCGGGGCCTTGACTTATGAGTTTAATTTGTTCCGAGACCGAGCTCTTTAAGGAGCTCGTTATCTCAAGTTACTCTGTCAACTCAATGCAGAAAATTGGCCAAGAGACAGCTGGTATCTCAAAAAACTCGTTAGTCGGGACACTCGTAAGTCAAGGCCCCACTGTATTATACAAAAGTAATATCTACTTCATTCAAATTCGAATAAATAGTAAATATCTGAATAGTAGTATCTAAAATAGCAAATATGTATTTATTTAATTAGAACAAGACTGAAAATAATGTACATATAACATATAGGAAAAAATAGAGTTCATATCTCTCATTCAATTAAAATTTTAAAAGTATTTAAAATGTCAATCCAGAAAAGAAAATAAATACTCTTCTAGTAAGTAGTAAAACCCAGGAGAAGGGAAAAAAGGTCAAAGAACAAAATATTGCTAAGTAAAAGTGTCCTACAATTATTTTATTTCTATTATATTAGTTCAGGCTCCATAGTTTTGAATTGGGTATAGATTATAATCTAAATTAAAGAATGAACCTGTATATAGAGGTGTGAAAACTGAATTTCTAAAATAAATTTAGATTTTAAGAGCAATAAAATTAATTATTAAACATCTTATGAAATATGGCCAATATCACAAAATAAATATGTATCTCTTATAATCTCATTTTTCCTTCTTTAGAAACACAAGGTATCTAAGACTTCAATGGTTGCTCTCTATGAAGATAAAATGTCCTTTCTTTACCATTGAAATATTTGAATTCTTGAACAATTAAAAGGGTTTTAGGTGAATTAAGGGAATCCACAAAGAGACATTTCAGCCATGGTGTTACCATTACAAAAGCATCAATTCACTTCGTATATAAGTATGGTTATCTGAAAAACACTGAAAACTTACTATAGTGAGAAATATATGGACTCAGAGAATGCTATTGGAGACAGGTAGGATAGGCCAGATACTCAGCAGTTGGAAACAGTTTGATCAGACGTCCTTTTTCAAAAGCAGGAGAGCTTTCTTAGACCTCACTGACACTACAGGAGAGGGTCTCCTCAAACTCAAGGCTGTGGCTATTAGTCTCACACAAATAGGCCTTTGCATAGAAACTTCACCCAAGTCTACATTCCTGTCGGCAGAACACTACAATGTACCTAATCCAAGACTAATATGTGAAAATAGACATTTTGGCAAACTCTCACTACTAGTCTGGGTATTAATCTTCTTAATTTCTGCAAATTTGACAAAAAATAAATCTATGTAATTTGCACATCTCTGATGGTGAGTGAGATACAATGTCTTCTTATAATTTTATTGGTCATTTTTTAATAACTTGTTCATGCATTTTCTTTTCTTTATTTTATTTGAGTCTTTTGAATAGAAAACAATATATGTTGGAGTTAGAAATTATTGTTCTTTTAAACAGTGCTCCAAAAAAAAAGATATATACTTTCTTCATCCTCTCTGAATTTAGAGGTGACATGCATGCAATCAATATTCAGCAAAATTCAACAAAATTTACTGAGTATCCACTTTATGTCAGGAGCTCTGTTGGACATAAATACAAGATACAGAAAGAAAAAGCAGTAAATAAGTATAAAACTATTCATTAATAACCATGTGACCTCCTTAGAGATGAGAATAATAAATCCTACACACACCAGTGCCTAAAAGCAAAGAAAAAGAAAAAAGAATGAGCAAAAAATGAGTTGTGACTAATGAGTAGAAAAGGAAAATAAAACAACAGCCCTAAAGATGCAAGAAGTCCTTTACTACAGAGCTAGTTTGTAAGAATGGAGAGTAGAATAGAAGGTTGAGTGAGGTGGGAAGAGGAAGAAGGGAAGCCTACCTGACAAAGCAGGTCTAACTCACAAATCCACAGTCACAACCAGCGTAGAAATAGAAGGAATATAAATGTCACACAACACTTAACCTCTAAAATACATAACTTTCAACATCAGCCAAAGCTCCTGATTAGTATACATTTTTAAACTGAGAAAAAACTTGAGGGGAATCTTCAGTGAAATAATTTTAATGATTTAGTTCTAGGAATTTATTACAACATTTTTAAAGCTGTTTGAAATTTGAGAAATCAAAACTATTCAAATGACTCTGAAATTATTCAGAAAAATATCCTGTATAATAAAAGCACAATATGCTAAGTGTCTGACCCAGCCGTGGGCAAACTACGGCCCGCGGGCCGGATCCGGCCCGTTCGGCTGTTCTATCCGGCCCATGGAGCCGAAAGAGCGGAGGGTTCTCTTGCTCTCCCCTCCGCTCCTTCACCAGCAGCAGTGTTAACATGTATTAGTTCACACAAACACTCCATCCATGCTTTTGTTCCAGCCCTCCGGTCCAGTTTAAGAACCCATTGTGGCCCTCGAGTCAAAAAGTTTGCCCAACCCTGGTCTGACCCCTTGACTAGTCGCTATGATGTGCACGGACCACCAGGGGGCAGATGCTCTGACCGGTAGGTTAGCTTGTTGCTGGGGTCCAGCTGATCGGGATTATGTGAGAGGGCCGGACATGCCCTGGAGCCTCCTGCAATCCTGCCCTGGCCAGCCTCCTGTCCCCTCTCCCCCTGATCACCCCAATCAATTGGGACTGGGCGAGATAGCCCTCAATCATCCCTAATCACTAGCTAGGCCAAGGGACCCCACCCATGCACAAATTCGTGCACTGGGTCTTTAGTAAAATATAATTTTCAGGGCATAAAGGAAATTCTAAAGCATAAAAGTATTTCTTTGCTTTAGCAATTTCTTTGCTTAATTTTTATCACATCAAGACCATGCCAGGCAGCAATGCCTTGTAAAGTAATCATGAATACAAAAACCCCCTGGGAAGACTTAAAGATTTTTTCCCATTTCCCTAAGTGTGAACCTGAATGGTTTTCTAGATAGGTTGGAGCCCCTATGAAAGGTCAAGGTCTTCTTTCTAAACTATATCATTTTATATTTTGTTTCCTATGGGCAATCTAATCTGATAATACATTCATTTAAATTCATTTCTATGAATTCATTTTCAAAACTTTAATCTGCTCTTATCTAAATACTAGAGGCCTGTTGTACAAATTTGTGCATGGGTGGGGTCTGGCCGGCCCGCCCCAATCAGGGCTGATCAGGCTGGGTCGGCAGAGGGGGAGAGGACCATGGGGAGGGGGGGCAGTGTTGGCCACTTTACCCTGCTCCCTGGTCAAACTCCAGGTTGAACTCCTGGTCAAGGGGAATATTTTCATATTAGCCTTTTATTATATAGGATTCTAGATAGATCCTTTTATTCACTAAATTCCACTACCCCAAAACAAAGAATTTCAATATCTAATTACTTGACTTTTTATCAAATATTATATCCCTCATATGTTCCCACTACAAGGAAACTACTCTTCTATGGTACACTTCAGTACTTTAGT